CCACGTGCGATTCGATCGCCATTTGGAAGAATAACAATGCCAAATTTTGTAGCAAGAAAAACCTATGAGAAAAAACATTTTTGATATAATTTTTCTCTTCGGAACTCCTTTTGTGTTTGAAAATATTCATAAACACATAAGTAAGCAAATTAAGAAAATTAAAAGATTATGTTATTTACAGCTTCCTCATATAGGGAAAATCCCCATTATCTATATTACGCATATGCGCATGATGATCCTTCATCTCGAGCGATTACTGCACTCACTCGAGAAAGGAAGGAGAGAACGATGTGAAGTTGTATGTGAAGTAATCATAGTGTTGAAATAAAGATCAAGCTCAACAAGTAACGGAACTAAGCACGGATCGAGATAAATAAAAACAAGACCAACGAACAAGGGATTCGATAACAACCGCCTTCCTCGATATCATTCCAATATCTTTTCTATATTTTCCGTTACAAGCATCCTTCGATGTGTTAAATTCTAACTGATTAAAATTTTATATGAGAAGTTTCCATTAATGTATACAATGCCTCAGAAGGGTCGCTGAGGTAATGAGTTTTCAATATTTTATGTCATTTTTCTCAGAAAACGTTCAGTCATATTATAAGCATCAGCTTATTCCTGTTTTTGGTTTTACTAACCTTTTCACGTTGATGAGGATATTTCTTAAAATACTTTCCAAGTAAATCTTCATTATCACCATAAAAATTCGCACTATCAATATATGTACTACCAAGTTCAATCAATCGATCCAACAGCTTGAATCGTTCTTCATCGGAAGCAGATGTTCCATAAAATGCTGACATACCCATAGTACCAAAACCAATGGCAGGTATATGCGGTCCATTTTTACCTAATTGACGAATTGGTATTGACGTCATATTTTATTGTAAAGAATGTGTAATAAAATGTATATTTAAACTCTAAAACGATATGATAAGTATATTTGTGTTTTACTCTTTAGAGTCTATATATATATGTCGTGCTGAAGTTACACTGGTTGTCGAAGTTATCTTAGATAAACTAAATATTAAATACATATCTACGAATTGATAATACCATAATAAAAAATTTATATTTATAATCAACTTTGCATTTTAATAACGTACGTATTACTTTTTTTCAGAATGAATGAATTATATAAATATTAGTTAGAAAATTTAAACAAAATGCATTTTGTTGATACTCTACATAATTGTAATTCGACTGAAACCATATTATGTTCTGTGTTTGAATAAAGATCTCTAAAGTAGTATGACTAGGATTTACCGAAAATTTATGTACACAATTTTAGTAGCTTCTAAAATTTGTTTTTCGAAATTGTTTGAAACCATACTCATTTTAATTGAAAATGTTTGAACTCAGGACGAAAATAACGCAAATACTTGTTAAAAGATGAAGATGAAGATGAAGACAAAAACAAGAAAAAACCGCTAAACGAAAAAGCGGGAAGTCGCTTCTTTGCTACAATTTTTCTTTGTACAATTAAAACATGTTATATGCGACGAAAGATAAGTTCAATAAATCCCAAAAAACTTCCATTGGCTGTCACAACTTTCACTGTACAACGTATTTTATTCCCTTGCCATAAACCATTGTCCTCATGACATTTAATTAATTTTCTATCGACCCCGTTTTTGTGATAAATTATGGTGCAATTAAAATATAAAGTGAGCCGAAGTACTCCAAATATTTCTTTTCAAATATAGAACTTAATATGGTTCAGTCGAATTACAATTATGTAGAATATCAACAAAATGCATTTTGTTTAAATTTTCTAGCTAATATTTATATAGTTCATTCATTCTGAAAAAAATAATAAGTACGTTATTAAAATGCAAAGTTGATTATAAATATAAATTTTTTATTATGGTATTATCAATTCGTAGATATGTATTTAATATTTAGTTTATCTAAAATAACTTCGACAACCAGTGTAACTTCGGCACGACATATATATACTTTACACGCTAGATAACAAAGCAAAAATGAGTTTGTTATTGTGATGACGATGCAGAGAAAGAAAGAACAGAAAAGAAAAAAATGCAACGAAAGGTCGTCAGAAGTGGACCAAACTCGGATCCATCGTCCATGGTTTACCCACTTCAGTTGGAATATCAAAAGAATTTTCAATAGATGTCCTCTGTAATCGAGCTGATTGTTGTGAAATTCAATCATTATTTTATATCTCTTTTTTTTCTTTCCGTTATCATCTTGATAATTTTCTGGAAACCGAATGGCATTAGTTGTGTTTGCTGATATTTTCACCGCTTAAAATATACAGAAGTTGAATGTAAATACGTAGTCAATGTTTCGAAAAATAGTTCAAAAATATTATTTATTACCAAACTGATCAATTAAGTTTGAGAAACAGAGAGCTCACACGGTGATAAT